AGCCTAGATTGCCTTGGAAACCTCAAGATATTAGAGATGCCAGAGTCATGGGATACCTGCTGAGGAAAGCTGCTAACAGGGAGTGGTACCAGCCCAAGAGAGAGAAGTGTGTTGCAGTCAACAAAACTGAAAGGAGTTGGAGATCTGAAGAGCATTTTGACATCTGATATAGAGATGCAAAGTTTAGAGTTTTCCCAGCTGGCTTTTGGTCTTGTTTTGGTCCAGTATTTCCTCATTATGCTCCCTTCCCTATGTTTTGGAATAGTAATGTATATCCTGTGCCATTATGTTGGAAGTAATGTGGTCTGTTTATTTATTTTGATTTTTTTAAAAGATTTATTTATTATGTACACAGTGTCCTGCCTGCATGTATGCCTTCACACCAGAAGAGGGCACCAGATGTCATTATAGATGGTTGTGAGCCACCATGTGGTTGCTGGGAATTGAACTCAGGACCTCTGGGGAACAGTTACTTCTCTTAACCTCTGAGCCATCTCTCCAGTCCCTTATTTTGATTTTATAGGGGATTATAGTTAAGAGAATGTATGGCTCTCAGAAGAGACTTTGAACTTTAAAACATTGTTGAGACTATGATTATACTATGGGGACTTTTGAAGTTGGACTAAATGTATTTTGCGTTATGATATGGTTACAAGTTTATGGGGGCCAGAGAGTGGAATGTGGTAATTTGGATGTTATTGGCCCCCATAAGTTCATAGGGAGAGGGACTATTAGTAGGTGTGGCCTTGTTGGAGGACGTGTGTCCCTGTGGGAGTGGGTGTTGAGGTCTCCTTTGCTCAAGCTTTGCTCAGTGTGAAACTCGGCCCATTTCTTGTTACCTTTGGATCAAGATGTAGAATTCTCAGCTCCTTCTCCAGAACCATGTCTGCCTGCATGCTGCCATGTCCCACCATGATGATAATGGACTGAACCTCTGATCTGTAAGCCATTCCAATTAAATGTTTTCCTTTTTAAGAGTTGCCGTGGTTATGGTGTCTCTTCACAGCAACAGAAACCCTAACTAAGATATCTAGAAACAGGGTCTTCACAGAGATAACTAGTAAAGTCATGATGTGTTACGGTAGACCACCTATCCAATGTGATTGGTGACATTAAGGCAAGAAGAAAAGACCAGAGGCACACAGACTAGGTCATGCTGTGAAGACTGGTAGAGACTGAGGGATGGAGCAAGGTACTTGAGACCACCCGAAGACAGAGAGATGCTGTGGATATTGCTCTATATAAATAAAACACTGATGGCCAGTGACCAGACAGGAAGTATAGGTGGGACAAGGAGAGAGGAGAATTGAGGAAACAAGAAGAAGGGGGGGGGGGAAGACACTGCAGCCACCACCAGGACAAGCAACATGTAAAGACGCCGGTAAGCCACAAGTGACGTGGCAAGGTATAGATTTATAAAAATGGGTTAATTTGAGATATAAGAACAGTTAGCAAGAAGCCTGCCACGGCCATACAAAGTAATATAAGCATCTGAGTGATTATTTTATATGTGGATTGTGGGACTGCGGGGTTTGGTGGAACCTGGAGAGAAGCCCTCCAGCAACAAATGGCACCCAACGGCTCAAGTTTCCACCTTAAACCTGAGAATATTTAATAACCAATTCTAAACAGAGCCAAAACCAGGTTCCTGCTTCTTGTCTCATACAGGCAGCTAGATGCCGCAGCAAAACACAGGTTTGAACACTGGCGGGGTCCTGGTGTGTGCGTTTGACCAGCAGTATGACGAAAATGAGGCATCTGCCAGCGGCACATTATGCTGTGTGGTAGATTTAGTCTTTACTAGTATGAAAAAAAAAAAAAGAGGTTTCTGGCTACATGCTGCTTTGATAAAAGCGAAGACCTATTATTTCTGAGACTTGACTCCCAGAGCTGGAGAAAACATACCACCGCCATGTTGAAAAGCTGAAGGGGGTGGAGCCAGCAGTCACAGCACCCTTTCAGGTTTAAAAGGCTACAGTTTAAAGCAATAGATTCACAATAAAACTGATTCAGATGAAATAGTTTATAATGCATATAAAAATGTACATAGGCTTAAAAGACAAATATATATATATATATATATATATATATATATACATACAAACAAATAGTATCTAAAAATAAAATGTTTAAAAAAACAGTAAAGATGGCTATCACACAAAAATCTGGATTATGTTGTCTTTGATATTCGTAACTAAAAAAAAAACCCATTTGATTGTAAAAGCTGTTCAGTTATGCCAAAATGTAAATTTTAAAGTTACCTTGACTTCAAAATTTGGATATAAGGATATGTTACTTTGGAAAAGAGGTTCTGCTTTTGTTTCCACAGAAAGCCAGAGGCTATGGATTTGTTCCAGATTAAGATACATCAGGTTTGACCAGCCAAG